CTTAACCCTTGACTTGGTGGTGTCAGCACCACGCTCTCCCAAGTGAGCCACAGGCCGGCCCAATATGGTTCATCTTTGATCCTGTCTTTTTTTTGTCTGTCTGGCTATATTGGGTTGTGTTTCCCTCCCCTATGTGAGGAATGTAGGATTCTGTATCTGAATGTACGACATTCAAATGCTGTAGAAGTGTATGAAGTAAAGTTTTTTCCACTGTGTCTTCTCCATTGTCCCTGTCCTGTTTCCCAGAGGAAAACTGCATCATTTGGTGCATATTCTTTCATCCTTTCAGTCCCCCTTCTATGCATCTGCATATGTACATATAGGCACATCCTTATTTTTGCTTCATATTATACCTAAATGGGATTATACTTTATGTAATGCTTCATCATGTGCTTTTGTCTTTTTCTATTTTTAGTAGACTATTAAAGCAGTTTTAGGTTCACAGCAAAATTGAGCGGAAGATGCAGGGATTTTCTGTATGGCCCCTCAACCCACGCATGCACAGCCTCCCCATCAGTGACATGCCCTGCGTCTGTTACAACTGACGAGCCTACATTGACACAACATCTCCTACAGTCCACAGTGCTTTTTTCTTTTAGTGCTATATTTTAGAAATCTCCGTGACAAGTGTATTTAGACCGACCTCCCTCATTTTTTGTTAGCTTCATAGCATCCCATTGTGTCAATGTAACATAATTTATGCAATCATGTTCCTGTAAAATAGATTTGCAGTTTCAAATTCTTTGCTATTAAAAACGACTTCATGAACATCCTTGCGCGTACATCCTTGTGCACATACAGCAGTGTTCTGTTAGAATAGTTTCCTACAAATAAAATTGTTAAGCTAAAAGGTGTGTGGAGATAACGATTGACACAGTAAATTCTCAAACGTCTGCACGTGATCACTGGCTTTGCAGATTATCTGCTGTTTTCTTGTCTCCTCTGCCCCAACACTGCTCAGGAATCATAGTCTTCAAAGTAAGATTGGAAGAGATAGGTGTGATAAGTGTGGCAGTATGTGGTTTTTGTGTTCTGAAGCATACTAAGGCAAGTGCTAGGAAGCTTTAAAAAATAATATAACTCATCTTATTTTCAACTCATGGATAATGGAAATTGATTATGTTGTTAATAATCGGAATGTAGCACCCTAGTCCGATGTAACTCCTTATTACCAAAATTCAAATAGCCTGCAGTTTACGGCCTACCTCCTTGGAGTTAAAGCTACAAGGAGCTTGGCTGTAGGTTGGGTATTGGCTCTACCTTGGCTCCAGCCCCAGGAAGGAGACAGTTCATTTGGAACAATAATCCTGCTGAATAAACAATAGCTGCCTAATTTAGCATCAACACAGGGTACTCCAAGCCTTCCTGGAGAGATCACTTTTCCTTTTTAGATGTATAATTCTGC